ATTGCAGGCTCCTCCCAGAGACAGCTGATTGTCACTTGACCTTGAGGGTAATAGACAGCCCCCGAGGAAGGGAGTTCCAATGACAGTCCCAGACTTGGAGGAGGCTGATTGATTTTTATGGACCAGAAGCACAGCACCACGGCCCCCACACAGATTTCTGCTCTGGCAAACTGCTCTGCCTGCCCCTCCTCTCCTGCCCTGTGCACTGAGCTGTGTGTGAGCTGGTGCCGTGCACTGTGGAGGAGTGTGTAGTGGGATGTCGTGGCCCCGGGATGGGAGCTCCCAGCTCCACACCCTCTTGCTGAGGGATGTTCAATGCCCTAAACTGAAGACAATCTTGCTCCATCGCCCTGTATGGTGGCTTTAATTTCATTCTCCTGCTTCAGGTGGGTGCAGAATATTCCAGAAAGCCTCCCACTGGGCCTGGTCCCTCCGTTTCAGTGCAGTAACTTGTCACTTTGTCAGAAAGGAAGAAAAGGAATCTTGGTGGAGTGCCTTGTGCTGGGTGAAACATCACCATCCCTGTTAGTCACTCAAGAAGCAGACACAGAAGAGATACGGAACTCACCCAAGGTCGGAAGACATTAGAGCCGCTGCCCAAACCCAGGTAAGTGTAGCCTGGTGCCCTCCATGCTGGCTGACCCTGGCTCAGCCCTGCCAGGGCACAGCGTCCTCATAAACAGGGATGCGGATCTGGAGGAACTCGATGTCAGTTCATAACTCCGGATGCATTTGCACCTACCTGTGCACGGCTGTGTGGCCTTCTGCCTTGTGTTATGTGTGCATTGCCATGTTACAAATGGCCACAGTCGCAGAGGCTTCAAACAGCCCACATCTGCCATCCACAGTCTCCATGGTTCGAGGGTCCTGGCTCACCTTAGCTGGATCCTCTGCTGGGGTCTCCCCAGGCTGTGGGCGAGAGGTGGGCCAGGCTGCAGTCGCGCCTGGAGACGCGGCTGGGGAGCACCCAGGCTGCTGCCCACATGGCTGCTGGTAGCGTCCTGCTCCCTGAGGCTGTAGGACTGAGGGAATCAGGCAGGTGCCAGCCTCTGGGGCTCCTCTGCCTCCTCCTTCTGAGTGCAGGCTCAGACACAGGGCTCTGCCATCAGACCAGACCTTCAGAGAGATGATGTTGATACCTAATAATGCTGTGTTTCAGGCACCAAACTGATTCACTTTAAAACTTCCCACGGGAGGATAATGCACACACAGAAAGCGCCGACACGCTAGCTGTGGAGTTGGATGAATTGTTTGATCATCACGCAGATCGAACAGCAGGATATTCTGAGCGTCTGGAAGCCTTCCTCGCGTCCCCTCGAAGGTGAACGTCTGACAGGATCCGTTCCTCAGCTTGTTTGCGTCCAGTTTATGAATGAATCCTTCAGCACACATGCTGCAATGGGCAGATGATTAGCAATGCCTGGGAGCAGCATTGCTGGCCCCGTGGTCACATGGGAGGCTTATTTGGGGAGCTGTGTTTACTTGCATAATCCTTACATCCCCTCTACATGGGGGCACTGTTCCACCCTTTACACACAAGAGCAGTTAAGCTTACCTAGCTTTCTCTGCAGATCCTGAAAGATCAGTTAGATAGAGGAGGAAGTGCCATTTGCCTCACTATCCACAAGCCACTTTATTACTTTACCTTAACAGATGCATTTTTGGGGAAGGGTTTTGTGTGTCAGGCAAATGTCCCTTGCTCCCTGTCATCTAGTTCTTCATCTGGCCCTCTTGTCAGCCAGAGGCATCTCTAATCAGCTGCAGAGCTGCACTACAGGGTTGATAGAATTTCAGAGGGAAAGTCCAGGTTCGAGCGCATCCCCAAAGCCTCCATCTAGGAGCAAAGGATTCCTGTTGGGCTGTTGGAGTAGTGGGAATCTGCCAGGCTTCCCCTTTGTGATGGTACAGGAACTTTAAGTGGCTGGAGACCCAGCCCATGTCTGCAATCCCCTGGGTTATGACCAATCAAAAGCATCAACGCACAAGTCATTCCCAAATCACTGAGACCAGGCCCAGACCATCATTTTAGACAGTCGCAGAGCCCCACCCATTCACTCTGGGCTTCTCTTAGGCGCAGGCAGTTACACGGAAGTAGTGAAGGGACAGTTTCCAAACTGCCACCAAGTGGCCAGAAAGACTTGAGGCTGTTGCTGACCTTGGAGTGTGCTTTGTTCATGCACATTTGCCTGTTTCTGTTCTTCCCCAGTTCTGTCTTTCTCCTTGTCTTTCTCTGGATGTACAAGTGTGTTTTCTATGTACAGTTGGCTCTGACTAGCCATGGGTTCCACATACAAGGGTTCAACCAACCATGATTGAAAAAATTAGAAAAAATCTGTACTAAACACGTAGAGATTTGTTTTTCTTGTCATTCCTTAAGCAATAAAGTGTAACAACTATTTACATAGCATTTGCATTGTATTGGTTATTATAGATAATATATTTAAAAATTTATTTATGTAATTAAAAGGAAAAGTTACAGAGAGACAGAGAGAGAGATAGCAAGAGAGGTCTTCCATCTGCTGGTTCACTCCCCAAATGGCCTCAATGGCCAGAGCTGGGCCAATCCAAAGCCAGGAGCCTGGAGCTTCTTCTGGTTGGGTCCCACTTTATCATACTTTTTAAAGAAATCATTCATTTATTTTTTATTTACTTGAAAGGCAGAATGACAGAGAGAGAGCAGAAAGAGAGAAAGGGAGACAGGGAGGGAGACAGAGGTCTCCATCAGTTAGTTCACTCCCCAAATGCCTGCAACAACCAGTGTCAGGCTGGGACCGGACCAGGAGCCCAAACTCTATCCAGGTCTCCCATGTGGGTGGCAGGGGCCCAAGTACTTGGGCCTTCATCCCTTGCCTTCCATGCACATTAGAAGGAGGCTGAATCAGAAGTGGAGAATCCAGAACTCAAACCAGCACTACTGTATGGAATGTGTGTATCCCAAGCAGTGGCTTAACCCACTGCACTACAATGCCAGCCCCTATTTTACTTTTCATCAGCATTTGCCCGTGTGATTAGCAAAGTGCTCCTCAAAACTTGATTCTTTAAATTGCTGTTTGATATTCCATTACATGGAGTTAAGCATGATCAAGTTAATTATTTTGGGATAATTAGGTTGTTTCTAATATTCTGCCTTTGCAGGCAACACTGCGTGGGGCTTCTAGTCCCTAAATCCTTGGGGATATTTCTTTTCTTTTCTTTTTTTTTCCTTCATTCTTTTCTATATTTTATATTCACCAGACAGAGTTAGACAGTGAGAGAGAGAGAGACAGAGTTATAGACAGCGAGAGAGAGACAGAGAGAAAGGTCTTCCTTCCATTGGTTCACTCCCCTAAGGGTCACTATGGCCGGCGTTGCGCCGATCCGAAGCCAGGAGCCAGGTACTTCCTCCTGGTCTCCCACGCAGGTGCAGGGACCCAAGCACTTGGACCATCCTCCACTGCCTTCCCGGGCCACAGCAGAGAGCCGGACTGGAAGAGGAGCAACCGGGACTAGTACCCGGTGCCCCAACCAGGACTAGAACCAGGGGTGCCAGCACCACAGGTGGAGGATTAGCCAAGTGAGTCACGGCGCTGGCCGGGGGATATTTCTTAAACCAAGTAACATGATGTGGAATAACTCATCAGAGTACATGGTCTTGGTTTTTTTTTTTTTTTTTTTTTTTAAGATTGATTTACTTATTTGAAAGGCAGAGTTTACAGAAAGAGACAGAGAAAGAGAGAGAGAGAGAGAGAGAGAGAGAGAGAGATCTTCCTTCCACTGGTTCACTCCCCAAATGGCTGCAACAGCCGGATCTGGCCAGTTCAAAGCCAAAAGCTAAGAGCCAGGAGCCAGGAGCTTCCTGCAGGTCTCCCTCATGGGTGCAGGGGCCCAAGCACTTGGGGCATCTTCTGATGCTTTCCCAGGCCATTAGCAAATAGCCGGATTGGAAGTGGAATGGCCAGGGCCGAACCAGCAACCATATGGGATGCCGGCGCCGCAGGCAGAGGCTTAAGCTGCTACACCACAGCGCTGATTCCTAGATTGACTTTTGAGTCCTCTTATCAAACGCAAAGCTATGCCACTGAGAATAACCTGCAAGAATGTCTTTTTCTACCCACGCTGATAATATCCTGTTACAAGTGAGTTGGCTCAGTTTCACAGGTAAACCATGATAGTAGCTGTATTTACCGGATGGCTGGCGAGGCTGCATGCTCTTCAGGTTTGCTGTCTCTTTTAATTTCCCCTGTCCCTCCCCCAGAAGCCATCCTGTGTGCGGCAGGTGTGGTAGCTCCTGTATGGTTGCCTTCGCGGGGAGGGGCAGAAACCGTGTCCCCCCCAGCTGCTCGGCACATCTGCCACTCCTCCCAGAGCGGGAAGCCTCCCGTCTCGCAGAGCCCAGACACTGTCCCTAGGCTGGGCTGGCGCTTGACCTAACGACTTAACCGGGTGAGGCGAGGGCCCCCGCAGGAAGTGCTCCTTCCGTGCTGGGGGAAGGGAGCAGCTGTGCAATGCATCAGATGACCACGTGGCCCTGGCTTCTCTCTCCTTGGGAGAGTTTTATGTGCTGGGGTCAGAAGGGACCCATTTGCCTGGTTCACGGCCAATTTGCAGAATCATCAGTTTGAGGAATTCTAAGCCGCCTTGCTCAGCAGGTGGGCAGGTGCCGGGCTTGTAGGAACGGAGGCTCCCGTGGTGCCGAGGCCTGACTGTGTGTCTGGACCGAGCGTCTTGCAGAGATGTGAAGCGTGCGCTGGCCGTCACGCAGGGGGAAGCCTCCCTCGCAGGGCTCAAGCTTCTTGTCCCCCGCCCCCTCCTCCCAGTTCCGCCTCCTCAGCAGAACATCTGCTTGGGCAGCAGCTGCGCCCTCACGGTCCAAGACAGGACAGGGAGTCTCCGAAACGATAAAGGAGCAGCTGTCGGGCCTCTGGCTGGCGCTGATTAGCAATCAAGGCCAAGATCCACTCGCTGTCCTGTAATAAAGGCTGGCGCACCCTTCCAAGAGAATATTAGGCAGCTATTAAAAATAATGTTTTCAAAGAATTTTTATGACACTGAGAAATGCTTATGGTATGAAATAAAATGAGAGATATATAGCTCACATATAGAATATGATCCCAATTATGAGAAAGATTAGCCGGAAACATCGTGAAATGGAGGTGTGGCTGTCTCTGCAGGGAACAGTATGAGTGTGCTTCGGGTTGCTTTCTTTTTATAATTTTTAAATTTCCTATATTAAGCATTTCTGATTTTTGTGTACAAAAAATCCCACCAACAATATTCTTAAAAACCAAGTCTGGTGCGGCCTCTGGGGACTCGGCTCCTGTGTGTGACCCACGCTGCTCTGATCCCGCCGGGGCAGGGGGAGAAGGGGCACCAGGCTGCTTGGGGCCAAGGGTGACTTAAACAAGGCAGCCACCCTTCCAGAAGGTGCGAAGGTACATTTTGCTGAAGGTCTCAGGTCCTCGGCTCCTCCCCTCCCTACCGGTTCTCTCCCACTTCCCAACCCCTGCAGGCTCTGGGAAGTCTTTTGAGAAAAGTGAATCCCGGAAGAACCCGGCAGTGCTGACCCCGGCCAGCTCCATGCGCCCTGGCCACAGAGCTTCTGCTGGCTCTCAGTTCTGGGGAAAAGACTTCCTCTTGCAGAATCAACGTGAAGGTGACCCTCCACCCCGCCCTGAAGGCCCCTTTCGCGCCAGATACTGGACTCGGAGTTGATCTATTGTCTCATTTGCCCTTTACAATGACCCTTTCCTAGATGAGAAACGTGAACTTGTGAGCATGAAGGAACGGGTGAGTCTGCCCTCCCCTGTGCACATTCTCCTGGGAGATGGGCCTCTTGTCCTGTGCATAGAGGGCTGCTCTGGACGCGGCCTTGGCTGCTGGCGCTGGAGAAGCTGGCGGGAGTCCTGATGCCAGCTCACTCAGGAGTACCTTAGGTGTGCACAGAAAGGTTGTGCTGACCCGGCAGGCTTGCTGGTGGGAAGAAGGAGAAGCAACGCTCTGGAAGCAGTGCTGGGGGCTCCCCGGGCCTCAGCTGAGCCCACTCTGCAGCCATCTTCCTTGCTGTGTGTGTGACTGGAGGCTCTGCTGGCTTGGGATGCCATTGCCCCAGACAAGTTCATCCAGCTATGATCACACAGTCCCAGGATACACGGGCAATAAATCCAAGCAGGCTCTCCTCTCTGTATTAAACACTGGTTTTAATAAAATGCACCCAGTTCACCCATGGAGGCGTGGGGCACTGGTTAGCAGGCACTAAATGCAAGTTGTACGTTTCTTCCAAGATCGTGGTGGAGCCTGAGCGCTCGGCGACCTCAAGTGGCTTCCTCGGGGGACAGTTTCCTAGACAGAGTTGCTTCAGGCTCGCTTGTTCTTAAGATCCTCAAAGACCACGTGGGCTGCGTTTCGTCCTGCGGCTCCCATGACACCTCCTCCTGGAAGAGAATTTCCCATGAGCCCATGCTGCATTCACGAATCCAGCAGGAAGCAGGCAAGACAGGGCTGAGAGCCTGCGGCAGAGTGCGGTGGGCGGCTTACAGGTTGGCACTAAGGCTGCAGGATTCTGGGTCCCCTCCAGTCTTCCCGCCCCAGAACTCGGAGAGGGGCTGGGCCCGCAGTCCACACCCGCACTCCCGTCTGGCAGGTGGGCCACCGGGACACAAAGCCTATAGGAGTATGGGGTGCAGCAGGAAGATGGGCGAGGGCAGTCCGCCTAGCCGAGCGGGCGTCAGTATGCGGCAGCGCTGGCTTCTGTGGCACCCGGGAGGCTTGCATGAGGCATAGGGTGGGATCTTAAAGCTGGGGAACTGGGCTGATCCTTACTGGTCTGAACCAGCTTGGGAAGTGAGGGACACGGGATTTGGAGAGCTGCCTCCGCTGGGCCGGACCCTCAGACTCCAGGAGCTGGCGTGAGGCCAGCCAGGCGGGGCAGCGCTGTGTGCTCACCCTGCTCCTGGGATTTGAACATTTGGAATTCAGGGGACATTCAGGTAGAGGCCTGTGCTTCCCTCCCTGCCTCCCTCATCGCTTATCTTCTTGGTCCACAAGTGTCTCCACCCGCCGCCTCCCCACCCCGCTGGCCTCCAGCCCTTGCAGCCCACACAGGGGAGTGGGTCAGGGGTCACTCACCAGGATGGGCCCCACTGCCGCAGAGGTAGAGGCCCTGGAGGGGGCTGCGGTAGCTGGAGTGCAGGGGCACAGGCCGGGCGAAGTAGAGCTGCTCCAGGGACATGGCACCGTGGAATATGTTCTGTGGGGGGCGGGGCCGCCGCCGTCAGTCTTACAGCCCTGGCGGCTCCTTCCCTGCCCTGTTCTCCTCCCTCCAGGAGGCTATCTCCCTGGGCTCTTACAATGCACCAGGGGAAGGGTAGGAGGGGCAGCAGACAGGGCCCTAAGGGAGGGGTGCAGTTTCCCAGAGGCCATTTTGGGGAAGGAAGGAGAATGGGGAGCATCTTCAGCCCGGGAGGCAACTGACCAGGAAAGCAAAGGCGGGAAGGCAGCGAGGGTTCGGCTGTGGGTCCTGAGTCCCCTCGCTCTGCCAGATAAGCAGAAGATTCTGCATGGGGCTGGTGCCATGGCCTAGCGGTCAAGCTGCGGCCTGCAGCACCTGCATCCCATATGGGCCCTGGTTTGTGTTCCAAATGCTCCATTTCCAATCCAGCTCCCTGATAATGCATCTGGGAAAGCAGCAGATGGCCCCCTGCACCCACGTGGGAGACCCGGCTGAAGCTCCTGGCTCCTGGCTTCAGCCTGGCCCAGCTCTGGCCGCTGCGGCCATTTGGGGGTGAACCTGCGGATGGAAAACACCTCTCTCCAACCCCCACCTCTGTAGCTATCTTTTAAATAAATAAATAAATCTTAAGAAAGAAACTTCTGCCTGGGCATGGCAGTTGGCTGCTATGGGAATGGGGTTCCTGGCCAAGGCATCCATCTGAGCCTGGGCTCGGGGGCCCAGGTGCCAGCAGGGTTACTGTGAATGGCAGCCGATGGGCAATGGGAACAGAGGGCGGTTCTGGTCCGCAGGCCTGGCTCAGCGCAGCCCCAGGCGAGCTGGATGGGAGGACCAGCATCTGCTGGGAGTGTCCCTCACTCTGTCCCACAGGAGCCCTCCTGACGTCCTCACATCCGCTCCTCTCCCATCTCCCTGCCACTAGGATGGGGCTGCCTTCCTCTCTCCAGCCTCTATCCGGCCTCTACTGCACACTGCTGCTCTCTGCTTTACTGACCGGTGAGTGTCCCCAAGGCTTCGTGTTGAAATCCAAGCCCCATTGCCAGGCAGCAAGAGGGAGGAACTTAACCCAGGCATGGGGTGTGGGGTGGGGCCTTCTGGGGGCATCCAGGTGCAGCCCTCCCGAGGAAGCCTAGTGGCTCTGAGACCAGGAAGAGACTCATGCGTGTGCTCTCTGCCCTTGTGTGTGAGGCCCTGCACTGCCAGCACAGACGCCATCCCCATAGGCAGCTCCTTGACCGTGGAATCTAGAGTCATGAGCTAAAATAATCTGCTCTGTATAAAGTTAGCCTGCCTTGGGTATTCATTTTTTAAAATCTACTCGTTGGAAAGGAAGACAGACAGATAGACACACAGGATCTCCCACCCACCATTTTACTCCCCCAAATGCCTGCAACAGCTGGGGCTGGGTCAGATCAGAACCAGGAGCCTGGAACTCGATCTGGGTCTCCCACATAGGTGGCAGGGACCCAAGTACTTGAAAAATCACCTGCTGCCTCCCGGGATGCACATTAACAGGAAGCTGGTATTGGAAGAGGAGTCTAGACTCAAACCCAAGCACTCCTACATGGGGTGTGGGCATCCAGACAGCTGCACAAACATCCATCCCCAGGTATGTTTGTAGCAGTAAAGAATGGACTAATATAGGTACTAAGACTGCTCAGGGCTACATGGCCCCTGCTGTCCACATCCACCCACACCCTCCCTTCTGACTGCCAGCCCTTCCTTCCTCTGTCTAGACCAGCACTGTCCACCAAAGTCACACACATACTTTTAGATTTACTAATAGCCACACTTAAAAAATAAAAGCAAACTAGTGAAATTAATGCCAATATTCCAATACACTAAAAATTCACTTCAGCATGTAATCAATGCAACAATTATTCATCAGACACGTTACATTTTTCCACCCTAAGTCTCTGTAGCCTGGCATGCGTTTCACACCTACTCTGGGCTCTGGAGCCACCCAGGGCTATGATGTGGCTGCTATCGTGGGAACTGGCCTTCCTCCTGGGCTCCCTGCTTCCAGTGTGCAACATTCTGCCTGAGAGTGGAGAAAGTCAGATGAGAGAGGCTGACGCCAACATCCAGGCTGAAGGCCACAACCTTGGTGAGCTTCTCAGATGGCACTGTGCTGCCTGAGTCGTTATGTCCCCACTCCTGTCCCCTTCCCTAGCTGTGACCACTTCTCAGTCCCCTCCCGGCTGTGGTCGGTGCCGCTGGTCTCCCTTCCCAGAGTAAAGCCAGGTGGGCCAAGCAGGAAGGGGAGGATGCAGGGCCCCGAGACTCATACTCACCCCTCCAGGGAGCCCAAAGATTCTCTCCAAGTCTGGTGGAGTGAGGATGTCTCTGCCCAGCACGGAGCCCTTGAAGCCAGGGGCGTAGGCCTCGATGCAGTCAAACACTGGGTGCCCAACAACAGAGACACAAGATGGCTTTAGGCAGACAGGAGGCACATGGTGATACGGCTTGGAGAATTTGCCAAAATCCTTCAAATTATGTGCCGAAAGGGCTTTTTTATCATATGCAAATTAAACCTCCAAAGTATAAAAAAAAAGTCTGGCGCCATGGCACAGTAGGTTAATCCTCCACCTGTGGTGCCGGCATCCCATATGGGCACTGGTTCTAGTCCTGGCTGCTCCCTTTCCAGTCCAGCTCTCTGCTGTGGCCCGGGAAGGCAGTGGAAGATGGCCCAAGTACTTGGGCCCCTGCACCTGTGTGGGAGACTGGGAAGAAGCTCCTGGCTCCTGACTTCGGATCAGTGCAGCTCCGGCCGTTGTGGCCATTTGGGGAGTGAACCAACAGAAGGAAGAACTTTCTCTCTGTCTCTCCCTCTCACTGTCTGTAACTCTACCTCTCAGATAAATAAATAAAATCTTTTTTTAAAAATGTCCACAGGGAAAACATATCAGCCATCTCCAAGGCCCAGGGGTCCTGGCGCAGTCCAGTCCCCCTGTCTTTCCCCTCTTATCCCAGCCTTAACATGAGGTGCCTTGTCTCCTCTTGCATATGCAAAGCTTTCGCCACCTCACTGTGTTGCTCTAGCTCTTTCTCTGGCTCACCACGTGCTGCACGGCCAGCTCCCATCTAGCCTTTCGCATCCAGCTCGGATGTGCCTTTCTTTGGAAAGCTTATGGCTTCCTCCCGCCAGTCAGCACAGCGTGCAGTGCTGCAGCGACTGCTTCCTTAGCTGGCCTCCCCACCAGCCCGGCCCAGCCGGAGGACAGAACTGTGTCTTTCAGGCTGTCCTCGCCCAGCGCCTGACCCCAGCTGACAGCCAGCGAGTTGACTGGAGGATCCCCCGGGCACTGCCCTCCCTCCGGGGCAGCACCTGCAGGAGTGAGGAGGGAGGGCTGGGCTCAGGTCGGGCTCTACCTCGGTCTGCATAAGCGTTCTTCTCCAGCTCGTCCCACTGCTTGCCTGCAGCCAGTGTGTAGGGCGTGTACTGAGTGAAGAGGGAGATGACATGGCAGCCGCGGGGGGCCAGCGTTGGGTCCAGCGAGGAAGGGATGCAGAGCTCGATCATAGGCCTGGGACGAGCAGAGAGGGAGAAGGTTGGCTCTGGAGGGGACGACTGTCTCAGCCCAGCCACAGGGGCATTCGCAGGAGGGGCTCAGTGCCGCCCCTCCCCAAAGCAGTCTGGGTCAGCCTGAGGCCCTACCCACTCACAGGCCCCAGGGTCCTGGGTTGGGCCCAGCCCCCTGATGAATGGCGAGCTGTCCTCATTTTCCTCCCCAAAATGCAAATGGTGCCTGGGTCCAGACAGACAATGTGCCAGACCAGCGGCCAGGCCTAAGGCAGCAGGTGCATTTTCCCTGTAGTAAGCCCCCCCTCCCCCACCCCCGTAGCTGCGGTTCCACAGCTGTGGACTCAGCCAACCACGAGCTGAGAGGACTCAGAGCAGAGTGTGTTCTTACAGAACCCGTCACTGTTCTGTAACCATTCACCCGGCATTTCCACTGCATTCGGTAGCAGACATAGAGATGGTTTGAAGTTCACAGGCGGATGTGTGTAGGCTATTTGCAAATGCTACACTATTTTATTTAGGGGCCTTGAACATCCTCAGGGGTCCTGGAGCCACCCCCCAGCGCTGGTCCCTCACAGCTCCTGAGGGCAGATGGCCTGAGCATCCTCCAGGGCCATGCGCAGGGCCATGCGCAGCGCCCTCCCCCCACTCCCCACATCCCTGAACTCGGGGGTCCACCAGGCATCTCAACATGACTTGTCCAGGCCTGTCTTGATTGACAGCCTCTGAACCCTGCTCCTCCCCCAGCAGCCCCTTCCCCTCTTTAATAACCGGAAACCTTGTTTCCCGGGGCTGGGCTTCTGCATGCACACCCCACTTCCTGTCCAGGAGGAAAGCCTGCGCCTGCGCACTGCTCATCTCTTCTACCAGCCTCGCCCGTGGATCCTGCAACAGCAACCAACTGCAAAGACGCCCTGATCTCTTCTCCACACGGTGGCCAGCGTGGCCCTTCTAAAGCGTGACTCGGGTTCTGCACCAGCTTTCCTGGAGTAAAGGCCAGAAGCAGTGGACAAGACCGGCAGGCCCTAGCAGCTGTGGGCCGCAGACCCTTCACTCCCAGGTTCTCCATCTGTAGCCAGTCTGGCCCCTCTCTCTGCCTCCGACACAGCAGCACAGTGACCTCCCGCACCTGACCTCCCCTCCATCTGGGTGGTCTTCCCCAGCGCCCCCCAGATCTGTGCTCTCCCTTCCTTTGGGTCTCTGCTGAAATATCACATTGTCAGAGAGGCTTCCCTCACCTAAACGGCAAGTCCTCCACACCCTGCAAAACACTCATCAGTGTGCATGTGTGTGTGTGTGTGTGTGTGAGCTGTCCTGTCTCCTCCAGGAGAAGCTTAGGCCGCTGGAGGCAGATCTTCCTGGCCTTGCTGCTCTGCACCCAGGTCCCTGAACCCTCGCCCCTCATCCTGCGCTTGGGCGTCTCTCTCCTTCACCTTAGGCTCTACGTAATGCATCCCTGTCTAATCAGCAGCTCTGCTTCCTACCCCAGCCCGATCCCCAGGCCCCCTGACCTGTACCCAGTGAGGCCTCCCCAGTGTCTGCGGGCAGTGCGCGGGATGGAAGGATGGCACCCTGGACCATCCACCCAGCTCGCCAGGATGGACTCACATCTGTGCTGGCACGGGGACCTGCTCGAGCAGTTTTGAGTGGGAGAGACCCCTGATAAGTGGAGGAGGGGACTCAATGACCACGGAGCTGCCGTCTTCTCCCCAAACGCCAGCGCAGTCCGCTGCAGAGCCCCACCCCTTTCGCTAACCTGTGACACACCCACTCACCTGCCCTGGCCTTGGGTTTCTTGCCTGGGATGCACTTTCTGTCCTTGGAACGTGAGTACGGATTTAGGCAGACCTTAAGTCCCTGCGAAGGTTCCATGCCAGGTGGAGGAGGCTGAACCCTAAGCCCAGGGCCACCCACCTGCGCGAGGGCAGGCCAGCCACGGCATCCTCGAACGCCTGGTGGAGGACGGGGATGTCTTCGCAGTTGAGGTGGATGGAGCACTGGTGATGGGGCAGCGGCTGACCACTGGGTGCGTTGGGGGCTGCCAAGAAGCTGGGCAACCTGTCCACAGCCACTAAGGGACCGGAGAGGAGGTTGAGGTCTTCGGGCCTTGGTGGTGGACGGGCAGTGCGGAGGCAGGAAGAAGTCATTCACCTCCAAACCAGGCGCAGGCTGGAGGTGAGGTGGGTGGGGCCCTCCTGGGTGGTGCCCTCCCCAGCCTGGGAGAGTTATCACTCAGAGGATGTCAAAGACACTGCTCTGCAGTCCGGCACCCCTCTTACCGTTGATCTTGGTGACGGGAGACTGGGTGTCCAGCTGAGAGATTCTCTTCACAAACGCCTCGGGAAGCCACTCCTGGCAGGAGAAGGCTCTGTGAGGGGCCCTGCACAGCCACGGCCCCAAGGCAGCCAGCTTCCTCCTCTGCTCAGGCTGGCCCCACAACCCCAGCCTCCAGAAATCCTCCTCAGCCTTCAGAGCTCAGCCCACCACCTCCTCTGTGAAGCCTTCCTGGATACCTCTGCTCAGTGCTAACTCGCCTTCCTCCGCACTCAGCCAGTGGACCCGGCTCTGCCTGCCTGGGGCTGGGCCAGTGGTTTGCCGGCCTCGTTTCTGGGCTGAAAGGTCCTGGACAGAGCGATCATCTCAGAACTGCCCTAACGCGGCACTTTGCATGAATTGTTGGATTTTGTTAGTGGAATCACTCGGAAAAGGTGGTTCTTTGTCCCCAAGTGTAGCCTGCAGGATGGCTGGGAGTTTGGTGCTCAAATATTTATGCTTTCTTTTAGGGACACAGAAGGTGTAGACAGAAACTGCCCCAAGTCCTTGCCCCTGTATGTCCTCCTGCCCCGACTCTGGGCTCGGCTGGGAGACTTGCTTTGGCCAGTGTTAGCAGATGCGATGCAAACAAACAGGATGGCACTGGCACGACTCAGCCTGCTTGCTGCTGCCCTCTGCCAGACCTGAGAACATGTCTGCATGACTGGCCCAGGGATAATGACATACACAGTAGGGCTGAGTTATCCCTGTCACTCCAGCAGAAACCACCCCAGACTGGCCAGAGCCAGCCAACCTGCTGGTATGTGAATGAGTCCAGCCAAGATCAGCAGAGTCAACTGGTTGACCCACAGCTGACCGCAGACAGACGGGCAAGCCCGGACCAGCTGGATTCAGGCAAGATCCTCTGAGTTCTCCAGATCTGGGAGCTAATACATGTCGCTATCTGCCCAGAAGTTTTGTGGTTGTTTGCTTTGCTGCATTAACACGGCAATAGGTCATCATCAAAGACAGTGACTTAGTGTTAGTGAGAGAGGAGAAATCCCAATAGCAGAAAAGCTGTAAAAATACCTCTGGATTGAAAAATCGGAACTGTGTTCTCGCACTGGCTCTGCCAGTCGCCAGCGGCATGAACCGCTGCCTCGCTAGTGGGATCTCTCCCATTTGCCACCTCCCCGTGATCTGCCTGCTTCCTACCCGGATGTAGTCCTGGCTCTCTTGGGGCTCCCCCACCCCAACCCTGTCTTCCAGCCTGTTCTTGGCACACTTCGCACACCACGCCCTGGCCTCACCTGCGGCGTCAGCTTCAGGAACGTGATCTGCGGCGATGCGTTGGACAGCACCACTTTGCTCCTCACCTCCTCGCCGTCCTGCAGCACAACGCCTTGAACCCGGCCTTCGCTGTTCACCTGCACCCGCACCACTGTCTGGAGCCCAGCAGAGAGAGGTCTCAGAACCCCCAGGGGAGGGGCAGCGAGGTGCAGATCTCATGGGCTTGCCACTGTCTGTACTGCCACAAGACTCAGCCTCCTCTTCTCAGATCCACCTGCCAAGTTCTGGACTTCGCCTTTGCCCCTGCTTCCTTCCCACCCAACCCTGATGGCTCAGCCCAAAAGCGGCGCAGGGACTGGTGACCTCAAAGCAGGTGGGGTGGTCGGAAGGACTGGGACCTCAGTGACAACTACGCAGCCACGAAACAGGCTGTGTAGTCCTAGTTCTGGATTCTGAATCCCGCCTCCGTCATCAGCATGAGACACCTGAACCCAGACTGCTGCACCCTGGGATCCCTGCCAAGAGCCAAGGTCGGGGGGGGGGTGGGGGGGTGCTGCACCTTTTCAGTGAAGATACTGGCTCCGTGTGCGGTAGCTGAGCTCGCGATGGCTTCGGAGAGGGCGCCCATGCCACCCTGGACGTAACCCCAGGCGCCCTGCCTCCCCTCCAGGGCCCCCATCACATGGTGCAGCAGCACGTACCTGAGGCAGAGCGACGGAATCGGGGACTGTGGGTGGCTTTCAACCTCTCGGTGGAGTTTGAGGCACGAATATTCCCTGCCGCCTTGCGCCTGCAGTGCCCTCTCAGCTCCCCTCCCCCCAGCCCTTGCCCGCCAGCCCTGGAAGGAGCTCAGGGCTCTCGCAGGAGCGCTCTGCTCTCCCATTCCTCACTCGCTGCCCACGTGTCCACGTCTACCTGCAAATCCCGAGTGCCTTCTGGGGGATCGCAGCACTCCCCTGGGCTGCAGCCGCATGTGCAGCTACCCCCACACGTCTCCACTTCAACACATCCCCTTCCCCTACACCCCTTCTCCTTCCTGGTGAATACAGGTTCCAACAGAAACATAGGTGTCAACCTTGACCCCTACCCGTCCCTCCTCATCAGCAACCAGCTGAACGCTGCCAGCTCAGCCTCTGAAGGGCACTCGGAGCCACCGGTTCCCTGCAGCCCCCTCTTCTCTCCATTAGGCTGCACAGAGCTACCCCGACTGCACCACCTTGGCCTGTGCTTCCACCCTGCAGATGTTTGTCCCTGCAGGTCCCGGAGCCCCGTCCCAACGCCCGCCATGCTCAGTCCTCCTCCCCTTGCTGCCCTAAGGGTATGGGCCAGGCCCCTGCAAGCCCTGCGGCCTGGGCACCCACGTTCCTTCCAAGCCACCCCTCTTCAGGTCCTTGGGTGGAGACTCCTCCCCTCCACTCCAGCCTGGGCCCTGCTCTCCGGCAGCCTGGAGCCTTCCTCACTCCTCTTCTGCTTAGCTGATTTCTCCTGCTCCTTCAGGTCTCAGAAAACACATCTCTTCCCCGCGGAGGCCTTCTCTGCCCTTAGGCCCCCTGTTCAGCCTCCTATCTTACACTCTCGACACTTCCATTGATGCTCCGAGTCTCTCCCTCCCATTACGGTTCCTGATCTGGTCACCATCCTACCCTAGTAGCTGGCACGGGCATGTGCTCATCAGTGTTTGTTGAAAGAGCCAAGATAAAAACAAATCACTTGAAGGCACATTTCACAAGCTGCGCAGGAGCTGAGCCTCCCAGAGACCCAAAGAGAAAAGGACTGGAGGCCCCTGGTGGGAGGTGCGGATTGGCTGGGCTGCCGCAGAGCTCGGCCGAGGGGTAGCAGCTGCCGCCAAGCCCTTTCCCCGGCCCTGGGCCCTGGGGGCCGGCATCCCGTGTGCAGGACAATCCTGCCACGGCATGTGCTCCTGCCGGGGGAGAAAAGCCACCTTTTCCAGTGCTGCATCCTCCGCTGCACTGGAAATGGAGCAACACTTGGCAGCACACACACACACACACATGCACAACACACACACGTTCACAGACATGCACCTGCAAATGCACAATATACACACACACATACACAGATGTACAGTATGCATGCACACATACACAGACATGCACATACCCACATGTACACACACAAATGCACAACACAGACACACATGCACACACAAATGCAGAATACACATGTACACAAAGGTGCAAATAGACATGCACGATAGAAACACAGGTGCACACACATAAACATACAGGCACACACACACGCATGATCCACATACAAATGCACAATACATACACACGCACACACAGGGACACCCACATGCAGAAGCACATAGGCACACCACATGCACACACACCCCTCCTTTCCTGATACACAAGGGGCTCATCAAGTAATCCCATCACCACAGTCTTCACTGTGTCTGACTGCCACCTCTCGGACTGGGCTGAAAGTGCACATCCCATGTACCCTGAGAAAGGCAGTTCTCTGTGCTGCCACACGTGTGTATGTATGTGCATGTCTATCCATGTATGTGTGCATGTGCATGTGTGCATTGTGTATATGTCTGTGTACATGTATGTATGTGTGTGTATGCATGTATGTGTATGTGTGTGTGTGCGTGTGTGCGTGTGTGCGTGTGAACAGAACAGTGGCAGAGGAGTGACAGCCGGCTTTGTAGGAGGCTGGGAGTGTGAGGAGAGGAAGAGTGGAAGGGGCAGGAAGGGAGTAAAGGAGGCATTCCTGCTGAGCTATCACACTGCGAGGAGGGGGCGAGGCTTTTCTTAGTGAAACAGCACAGAGCAGTAAATAGGGAAGATTTTGGGAGTTCAAATTGGGCTAGAAGTCAGCTCCCCCACTTATTGGCTGTGTGATTTTGGGCAAAACAACACCCCTCTCTGAACTACAGTTCTCAGACATTGCTTGGAGGGTTAAGCCAATGAGGCCTCAAGTGTTTGGCTCATGGGGCTCATGCTGGGGGGAGGTCGTGGTCACTGCTGTCCTCATTCTGTTCCACTTCTGCCGCCCCCACCCCTTGCTCACCCACTTCCTGGAGTATGGGGACTCATCATGGCTCCAATCACAGCATCTGTGGCCAGAGTGGCTTTCAGTGGCTCCGACTCAAACCAGTGATCCAGCACCTGGACAGCAGAAGAGCAGGGAGTGGGTTCAGGGGCCTCAGGGGCCTGAGGGGAGGGAGGGTCCCCCTTAGTGCATGGTGGGGCCTGGGAGGTGGCCGGGAGTTACAGACCTTGGAGATGGGAGCCACGAGCACCTGGTAGTACTGGGGAAGCTGCGCTCCCAGGATGCGGCCTAGGAGAGGGGTCACACAGCATTCATTGAGGCAGGCGGCACAGAGACTCCAACCTGGCTGGGGTGGCTGGGGTGGCAGGGGCATGGGGGGAGGCCGGGAGGTGGGGGTGGGAGGCCGCGTGGCACAGCAAGTGCGGGCAACAGATCCTGGGCTGTGGTTTGCTCCCCGGAGGTCCCTGTGCTGGAGGCTTGGTCCCCATGTGTGGTGCGGACATGATGGGGCCTGGTAGAGGCAATGAGGTCACGGGCTCCACTTCACAGGTGGACTGATGCTGTCTCCTCCTGGTTCTATAAATAGGGAGCCTGGCATGCTCCCATCTGTCTCTAGCCTCCTGTTCACCACGATGGACCTCTTGTTCAACCTGCTGCCAGTGCCAGGCAATCATAGCAACACAAAAAGGACTTGGCCTCTCAGCATGGCCATATCTGTAACCTGGGCTATCGTGAGGATGAACGAGGCACAGAGAGCATTTCACAGGAACCGATCACCCTTTGGCTGCTGGGTTTAGCTTTGGACATCTTTTACCTGCCCCTACCCCCTCACTTCGAACCTGGAGGCAACAAACACCCTGAGGCTGGCTAACCCATCCCTCTGGTAGTGGGTTCAGGTCACTTTTGAGAGTAACTGGTCACCAATGCCTTGAGGGCAGGGGTCATGGTCCCCAGCTCTTGGGGCTCTGATGCCTGGTTCTGGGCCTGGCACACAGCAGCTGTTGAGTCAATGCATTGGATGGTGCTCTGAGATGCATTTGTGATAGCTTCCACCTCTCCCCAATTCCCCACTCCTGGCTGTGTAACCGGCAGTGCCGCCCACTCTCTGCAGCTGGCACTCACCCACACCCTGCCCAGCCTGGGGAATGTTTCCAGATGTGACACAAACCGAGGCCTGCGAAAGGCCTGAATGTGGGGCTTGCCCTCTGAGCTCCCTCCATTGACGTGAGAAGTCCATGGCCAGTCTAGCATGCTGCTTTCAGGAGGAGGATGAAAGCCACTGGGAGCAGAGCTGCCTCTGCCACGACTACGTGCGTGAGACCAGCCCAGATCAGCTGAGCCAGGGGCTTACCCGAGCCACACAGACACATGGGAATACAGGCTTATTTTTTATTTGTCACTGGAGTTTTGTGGTGTGTGTGCTTCCATAGCCAACTGCTTGAGTATTTTTCTAAGATACAGAAGTTAAGCTGATCTGCATCTGCTAAAGGGTGTTAGAAAATAATAGCATGCCTGGTGAGCCTTCCTTTCTGATTCCCACGGCAGACATCACTAATTGATCATAGAACATGTTCTTGCTAAACCCAAATCTAGCATCCCTCTTGTATGGGGGAAGCTCTTAGAGTCCTGCTGCTCCCTATTTATTATTCTAGCCATGGCTTTGGTGACGAGCTCTGTGCTGGGTTTGACCAGCTTCACCCAGCAGAACCCCAACAGCATCATCCCCCAAACGATGCAGTATAGCAACCGTTCACACAGCACTTACTCTGTATGAGGTGTTATAATTGACCTAGAGAGGATTTAAGTATAAGGGAGGATGTGCATCTATTATATATAAATATTATGCCATTTTACATAAGGGAGATGAGCATCCAAGGATTTTGGTATCTTCAGGGGGTCCTGGAACCAACCCAGTGTAGATAACGAGGAAGGCTCTATTTTTAGACCAAGACTTTCTCAGTAAAGTGCTCTGAACATCCCTTGGGGCTGCCTTGGAGGGGAAGGGTGCCATCCAGGCATCAGGAACACAGGCTCACACGCCGGCCGAGAGGGTCACTTCTCACGCCTGGGGACTTACCTGCCTTCAGCAGAGGCATGAGTGTGGACAGCGACTTGAGCCTTTGCAGCAGGCGGCCCTGCTGGAGGGCCGCCAGGTCCACAGGGGCTGCGTCCAGCAGGGGGTCAATTGCTAAGATCAAGCGGCTCAGGAACTCCTCGTACCTGGGAAAGGCCTGGAACAGAGCTCTAAGTCAGGGCCCCTTGGCCCGAATCCTATGAGGACCTGGTTCTACGCCTGTCCCCCAGCTGAGCCCTGGAGGCACCCAGGCCCTGCTCTGCGGAATCATCCAGCCCTAGGTCTGTGAGTTGATGACAACACCAGGGAGAGGGTGCCAGAGGAGTCGGGAGACCTGGGCAGTGGGAGAGCCACCTGCGGTGGTGACAGGGACCAGAGGTTCATGCTGGCTAAGACCAGTCAGCAGCCACCAAAAACTGGCCGGGTCCCTGGTGTGGTCTCTGATAAACCACGGAGTCCCTTAGAAGGTTCTGCTCATGGCCTTTTGCCCTTCTGTCCTTTACCCCATCTCCCAGATCGCTGCTGGCTCTCTCCTGCCCTGCAGCGTTGACACACTACCTGGCCACACACAGGCGCCCCGCCTGCATCTCTCACCTCTCACCATCTCTTCCTGCCCGGCTTCTGGACCACACCCTTTCTTCACCGGGTGGGCTGCAGGAGCCAGGAGGGAGGCCGGGGCCACCAGAGCCCTTTCTTGATTCTCAGCCCAGAGCTTTTAACTTGGTTCTTCTCTACCCATGGAATTTCAAGAAGCCTTGCACAAGGAAAGGTTGTGTGTGGATGGACATTTGAGAGGCCTGGGTAGAAGTGAAGTTAAGGGGCTTCCTGCAGAGTAGGCCTTTTGTGACAACCTGCAAGGACAGGACCAGGGATCGGGCCCTTTCTACCCCCCTGCAATGGGAGCTGGGCCGGTGCCTCCTGCTTGTGGGATCACCACTGTGCGGGCCCAGCCACCGGCCTGCAGGCCCTCGCCCCAGCCCCGTGCTCCTGAGCCAGGCAGCATTAGCAGGGACAGTGGAGGTGCAGCACAATCCACTTTTTCAGAGCTGAGCTCCCTCGAGCTGGCATTTAGGCCAGCAGTTAAGACATCTGTGCCCCACACTGGCATAGCCTGGCTTTGGCTCCTGACTCCTGCCATTGCAGACCCTGAGAGCCAGCAGCGATGGCTCAAGTAACTGGGTCCCTGACTCCCCTGTGGGAAACCTGGATGAAGCTCTCTGCTCTCAGCCTCAGCCCCAGCTCAGGTTTGGGCATCTTTAGCTTTGGACGTTTGGGGAGTTTGGACGTTTGGGGAGTGAACCAGCAGATAGGAACTCTGTGTCTCTGGCTCCCAAATACATAAATTTAAAACAATAAACTAAAAACACCAAGCTCCACAGGTGATTCTTCTCATCAGCAGGCTTGGCTACTGCTGGCCAGAGAGCAGCGTGCGCTGTGCCTGGGGCTGTTTCGGTTTTGCCCATCACTAGATTAACACAACAGGGAGCAACACACTTGGATTGTATTAGCATAGATTCTTCTTATAAACGTATTTCCACTGGGATATGGCTTAATACTACGCCTTCAGCTGATAGCCAGACTTGGCACAAAAATGGCCCTTTGGACACTTTCTATGCTGCACACTCAGTAGCGACGTCATCCGGGGACTCGTCGGGCAGAGCCACCCGAGGGTCCCAGGATGCAGTCCCTGGGACTGTGTTCCCATGATGGCAGTCTTCCTTTCCCAGAACCGCATGTCGCGCGATGCTTTCCTGCCCTGGGCCGCAGGGGCCTGGGGCCGACTCGAATGAATCCTTATTTCGTTCTCCTGCCTGAAGGTCCTGGTGCACTCCATTCTAGCCTTAGCTGACCCTCCTCTTCCCTCCGTCTCCGTCTGCGCCTCTGTGCACTCTGATATGGACACCCACTTAGAATTCTGCCTGGAGGTGGGAGGGACATGGGCACACACAGCGTCTTCCCGGCCCAGGAAACCCAGCAGGCGACACACACCTGACACACACAGGTCCGAGGCCCCCCGCACCTGCTGGGCTCAACCCCAATGCTCCATCCCCTCTCCTCCCACTGATTGAGATGGAAGCGGGTGCAGAGCCCTCCCGTGGAGGCAGAGGGGCCTGTCCAAGCCCCCATGGCCTTTGGACAATGTGTTCTAGGGGATTTCCAAGCAGGCCCATTTCCTCTCAACAGCCACCTCCAGGCTGGCGAGGGACAGGGACGGCGGTCACCGGTCACTTTCCCTACCTGGGCGTCCTTCTGTGAGAAGCGTGCGATCTGCTTCTGGTTTTCCACCGCGTCTGTGCCCAGCAGGAGGGACCTGGGCACCCTGCTCCCCACGCCCTCTTCCAGCATGGGGGTGAAAGAGTGCGGGTTTCGGAGGTGAAGCCTCAGCCCGTGTTTCTGCAGAACACAAACAGAGCAGCAGCTGAGGGATTGCCGCCTGTGCCCGAGCCTCCTCCAGTGGTGCTCATGTGGCCAGTTAGGTGCCTGTGTGCGGTTCCCGAATGTGGCCCTGCTTCCTGTTTCTGTAACATAAGTTTATCAGAAGTCCATTGCCTGGGGCCGGCGCTGTGGCGTAGTGGGTAAAGCCACTGCTTGAAGTGCCGGCGTCCCATATGGGCACTGGTTCAAGTCTTGGCTGCTCCACTCCCCTATCCAGCTCTCTGCTGTGGCCTGGGAAAACAGCAGAAGATGGCCCAAGTCCTTGGGCCCCTGCACCCGCATGGGAGACCCGGAAGAAGCTCCAGGCTCCTGGCTTCGGATCAGCACAGCTCCAGCTGTTGTGGCCAACTGGGGAGTGAACCAGCGATGGAAGACCTCTTTCTCTCTCTCTGCCTCTTCTCTTTCTGTGTAACTCTTTCAAATAAATAAACAAAATCTAAAAAAAAAAGAAGTCTATTGCTACACTGTATCAGAATAAGGCATATCACACCACACCATTCCACACCTCACCATATCACACTATACCAAACCACACCTCACCATATCACACTATACCAAACCACACCACGCCACACCACACTATACCAAACCACACCATGCCACAGCATATACTATATATCAAACTACAGCATACCATACCACAATATGCTATATACTATATCACACCATATCACTCCACACACTACTTACCAAACTACTCCACACATTCTATATACCAAACCATGCCATATTGTACCATATACCATATTATACCATAATGTGCCATGCTACAACATATTATATACCACACCACGCCACATCACACCATTCCCTGTGCCAGAGACCATCCTCGAGTTTATAATAATTAGCCGACAATGACTCTGGAAGAATTACAACCCTCTTTGTACAAGGGTAACAATGCAGGTTCAGAGAAGTTAAAAACCTTGTCCCTGGTCACTCTGCGAGGTGGACTTGGGCTTCAAAATAAGATCTCTGTGCCTGCCAAGCCCTGGCTCTCAGCACTAGGTTAGAACTGCCCTACTGCAGAAATAAATAGCCCAAACTGAGGAAGACACAGGAAAGCACTGGTTGCGTGAAAATCTGCACTTGCAAGGAAGATCAATTATTTACACGGAAAACTTGTGTGTACTTTGTAGGGGCACTTACCCTAGGAATGCTCTCAATGGAGGTCCCCTGGTGCATTTAAAGCGTGACTTGATTCACCAAGGCCTGCCTGGCTCACAGAACCCTCCACAAGCATCTACAACACCTGGGGCGCGCTGCTCCCCCCGCGAGCCCTACTGCCCCCGTGGGCTCCAGATCTGCAGTCCACTTCCTCGTCCCTGCCCCCAACCTGCATGGCTTCTCTCCGAAGCACTTGTCGCCACATGGCCAGCTCCTCTCCCTCCTGCGGAAGGTCAGCTCCCTGAGGTCAGGGGCTCGCTCTGCTTTTCTCCTGTTCATCCCCCACTGTAGACAGAGCAGGCAGCAAGTCCTCTGTCGATCAAAAGCTGACAGCTACGCTGCCGACAGTGGACGGCTCCAGGGCACGGCGAGAGAGAAGCGTTAGCCAGGCAGAAAGACCCTGCTGGCGACTGTAGCTGGAGCCGCCCAAACCAGGAACCCTACAGGTGCAGAGGCTCCACATGGCATTGAGCGCTCCGCTTCTTAGCAGTTCCCACACTGATGGGGTTCGGGCCGGGAGACCATGTGGTCCATCCTAACACCGAGACGACTAAGTTGGAGAGTTGGGGGAGCTTCCCGCTTGCCCCTGTACATACAGTGGATTCTTCTATTTATTTATTTATTTGAGAGGTAGAGTTACAGACAGTGAGAGAGAGAGACAGAGAGAAAGATCTTCCTTCTGCTGGCTCACTCCCCAAATGCCCACAACAGCCAGAGCCGAGCTGATCTGAAGCCCAGAACCAGGAGCTTCTTCCAGGTCTCCCACGGAGGTACAGGACTTGGGCCATCTTCTACATGGCTTTTCCAGGCCACAGCAGAGAGCTGGATTGGAAGAGGAGCAGCCAGGACTAGAACCGGTGCTCATATGGGGTGCTGGCACTGCAGGTGGAGGATTACTGCGCCACAGCGCCGGCCCCACAGTGGATTCTTTTTTTTTTTTTTTTTTTTTTTTTTTTTTTTTTTTTGACAGGCAGAGTGGACAGTGAGAGAGAGACAGAGAGAAAGGTCTTCCTTTTGCCGTTGGTTCACCCTCCAATGGCTGCCGTAGCCGGCCTGCTGCGGCCGGCGCACCACGCTGATCCGAAGGCAGGAGCCAGGTACTTGTCCTGGTCTCCCATGGGGTGCAGGGCCCAAGCACTTGGGCCATCCTCCACTGCACTCCCTGGCCACAGCAGAGAGCTGGCCTGGAAGGGGGCAACCGGGACAGAATCCGGTGCCCTGACCGGGACTAGAACCCGGTGTGCCGGCGCCGCAAGGTGGAGGATTAGCCTAGTGAGCCGCGGCGCCAGCCCCAAAGTGGATTCTTTAACCTCAGGAGGCATCCTCAGCTCCTCTGTCCCTCACCCTCAACATCCCACGCATTGCCACGTGTTGCGAACGCCACCTGGGAAGTTGGCCATTTCCGTCACATCTGCCGCCCTCAGCCTGAGCCCGTCTTGAGAAGCGCTGCAGCAGCTGCCGTGCTGGCCCGCGCTGTCCACTCCCGTTCCCACCGTGACCCACACCAGCCCGACGGTGCCACGTCGTGAAGGCCATCACTGCTCTCTGAGAAAACACCTCTGCTGAGCTCCCGCGGCACTGGTGTGGAGTGAGCCTCCTGGTCCTGGCCGCAAGGCCCTGTCTGCACTAGCCTCCGTCCCCTCGCCCCTGCGCATCACCTGGCTGCTCTGGCCACAGCGGCCTTCCTCCACTGCCCTTTGGCCGAAATTCTCTCTGCTCCAGTGGCCGCGTGGCTCATGACCTCTTGGCATTCAAATGTCACCTCTTCAAGGAGGACTTCGGGTTACCGCTCTCTCTGTTCTATTGCCTCGTTTCTTTATTTCCTGGTACTATCCCTGTCTATCTGAACTTCTCTTGCTAAGAGCAGACCCTCTGCCTCCCCGATTCACTGCTGTACCCTTGAGGTGTCTCAGAAACACTCGCCTGATGTACAAATCCATAGCCTCCCTCCCACCGCCCCGGCATGGGAGCCGGCGGGAACCCAAGAGTTACTTCAAGGGTAATGCATGGAATGTGAGTAAGTTTTGGTTCCAGGACTTTCTCTTGTATGAAGCCTGTGGCATTCTTGGTGGTTTTAACTGCAGAGTAAGAAGGAGAAAATTCAACGATCCCTGGGTTAGACCTACCATGGGGTTCTCCGCTGAGGTAAACAGAACAACAAGCAGTCCCCCCACGCCTACCTCCTGGGCTCCCCCAGGAGATGGCTCAGCGTGCACAGCCAGCCCAGGAGGGAATAGCAGGGAAGGGGCAAGGTGGCTGAGGGACCACTGGTCTGGGGGACTTCAGGACAGAGTCAAATTCAGGGTCTCCTGTTTCACAGAGACCCAGAGACCCCCACCCCCGAACCAGACCTGCCCCCGAGAGCCGGGGACTCCCCCTTCCCCACATTCCCCAGGCCTTGCTGGGGACCTGCTGGCTTCAGAGTCCTGGCTCCTACAGGTTTTCAGGAGAAGGAGGCAGCAAAGGCACACAGCTGAGACCTGGAGGTCTCTGAGGGAGGGCAGGGGTTGCCTCTGGCCGTGAGGTCAAAGCTGGCCCGGAGGGAGGTGGGACACGGGGGATGAAGTCTCCCTTCCCCCAGTGCAGGGGCTCTGCCCTCCCAGCATGGACTCTGCCGCTTCGTGTGGGGCCACTGTGGAAGCAAATTCACTGTAGACAGGACTGGCAGGTGCCTCAACCCTGGGCTCACAGTGAGGCAGGGGCGGGGCAAAGACCTGAGAGCCTGAAGGCCCTGGTCAGGCTCCACCAGGGCTTGGCAAGCCTTGCACAAAGGCTCCCAGGATCCCCTCTGCACAGCCCAGTGGCCAGGGGAGGCGGCAGTCCCCGGTGCCCGCCTCCTGCTCCAGCTGCCGCTGGCAGAAGCAGGGCTCACAAGGCTGCTCTCACCGCAGGCAGGTGTCCCAGGAGGCTCGGGTGAGACTCCAGCAAGTGATGGGGGCAGGGCAGAGCAAAGTGTGTTTTTCTAAAAAGGTCTCATTTTTCTGTGGAATTTCCCAATTTTTTTTTTTTTTTTTTGACAGGCAGAGTGGACAGTGAGAGAGACAGAGAGAAAGGTCTTCCTTTGCCGTTGGTTCACCCTCCAATGGCCGCCGCGGCCAGCGTGCTGCGGCTGGCGTACCGTGCTGATCCCATGGCAGGAGCCAGGTACTTCTCCTGGTCTCCCATGGGTGCAGGGCCCAAGCACCTGGGCCATCCTCCACTGCACTCCCTGGCCACAGCAGAGAGCTGGCCTGGAAGAGGGGCAACCGGGACAGAATCCGGCGCCCCGACCGGGACTAGAACCCGGTGTGCGGGAGCCGCAAGGTGGAGGATTAGCCTAGTGAGCCACGGTTCCGGCTCCTATACTACATTTCTTAACCAGTCATCAGTTAATGGACATCTGAGTTGATTCCATATTTTAAGACCCTGGGTGGAAGGCATGGCCCCCATGTGGGCCAGACAGGTCCTCAGAAGGGAGAGAGGGAGGCCCCAGGTGGGGGTGGGGGCATCACCCTGGCACATCACAGGCATCACAGGGATCCCATGGAGGGTGGGGGACATGGAGCTCTGCCCACCACCATTCCCAGCCCCCCGGGGCTGCTCTACCTTCAGTTCCAGGTCGGTGTAAATCTGCGGCCTGAGCAGGCTGAGGAGGTAGGACGCTCGGGAGAACTTGAACCCTGGAAAGAAACCAGGTGGTGTCAGTCACCAGCAGTCACTCCCGCACCCCCCACACCGCCTCTCCTGGCTCACCTGGGACGATCTCCTCGGTGACAGCTGCGCCCCCGATCACGTGGCGCCTCTCGAAGACCACCGTGTTCACCCCCAGTCGCTGCAGGTACGCCGCCTGAGGGGCACAGGGCTCCCCCATTACCCACGGGAAAGCCCGGGACTCTTGGGGCTGACCTGCACCTTCGGGTCCTCACTACGGGGCCAGCTCGTGCTGCTCCTGCCCTGGGAGTGCCTTCCCTTCACTCCCCTTCCATCCTCACTTTCCCAGATGTCTTCTAAGATCTGCCATGCCTGCCCCTGCCCTCTCCTTCCCGGCACAAGGGCACTGTCCCTCCCTAGAGGCCTGCCGCCCGGACACTCACGTTGCACCCTGCCCACCCTGTCCCATGCTGGCTGGACTCGGAAGGTGAAGCCAGGCTGCTTCGGGTCAGCTGCTCGTTCTCTTCCTGCAGGTGCCTGAACGTAACAGTACTCGCTCTGCCTGCTCCATCGGGCTGCTGTGAGCTTGAACAGTCGGTCCCTAAATGGGGCTTAGCACAGTCCCGGCGCTGGGGGTGGGTGTGATGCGTGAGGCTGTGGTTACAGGGGGCAGTGATGCAGGGGCCCCTTAGTTTCCCCCCAACTTAGTGGGAAACAATACATCTTTGTTGCCTGGAGCTGGCTGTGAGTCTCTAGTCCCACAGTGCTGGTCTCCCCAAGAACACAACACGACGTCCCAGAATGCAGTGCAGAAGTCCGACCTTTAAAACAAGTCCACTTGGCAGCCACTACCGTGGCCCAGCACCGCGAAGGCGTCATCTCGTTTCATGCGCTCTGCCCTCCTAGAGGTAGGCGCTCAGATGAGAACACCCAGCTTCAGAGAGGGGAACGGCTCATCTCGGGGTCCCAGAGCAATGAGCGGCCGTGTCGGGGATCCCAGGAGCTATCCTCTGAACACCCCTCCCCGCGGAGGAGGAAAAAGGAGCAGCCCTGAGCTGGGAAGCACACGGAGGGGCCGTGTTATTCTCCCATTGGCCATGGTCATTTCACAGAACGACCACCTCGAACACGGCGCCTCTGGGACCATGATGCATGAGACGGAGCAAGCACAGTACAGTTCTCAGCACAGATGAAAGCTAGGTCACAGTGGCACCTACAGGACCCCAGACACCTGCGCCCTCAGCTAGAACAAGGGGCTGCTACGTCTTCCCCAATTCCTCACGCAAGTCTCCCCTTCCGGGTCTAAGATTTGCTGAGATACCGGGTCCGAGGGCTGTCCCAATTTCTGACAGCCTAGAATTGAGAGCACACCCCACTTTCTTAGACCCCCTCCAAATCCACCTAAGCTCACACCCTGGAAAAGTTTCTTTCTTGCTGAGACGGCCCGAGGACCCCGGGGGTGCGTCTCCCTCACTGCACTGGGTAACAAGCCGAGCAGAGCAGCCGCGGGACCTTCCTGGCACTCTGTGGCTGAGGGGCATCCACACGAGCCTCCTCGGCCAGCAGCTTCTCATCACAGGAGCCCCGGTGTGTGAGAAGCATCACGGCCAGGTCCTCGAGCCACGAGACCTCGACCTGCAAGCAGCTCTGTGCGGGAGGCACTGTTACTCTCCCTTGACCAGCTCAGAGAGGCGGAGGGATTAGTCTTAAGCTTTATGGACAGAAAGTGGCAGAGCTGGGAGATGAGATCTTGTTTGAGGAATAGAAAATCAATGTTGTAAATTACAGATCAGGGCAAGCATTTGGCCTAGCTGTTAAGATGCCGCTTGGGATACCCACATCCCATATTGCAGTGCCGGGGTTCAGGTGCAGGCTCTGCTTCCTACTACCGCTTCCCGACAACGCATTCCTGGGAGGCAGCAGGTGATTGTTCCCGTAACCCAGATGGGAGATCCAGATTAAAAAAAATTTAATGTATCTTAATAGCAGAGAGAGAGAGAGAGAGAAAAATCGTCTATCCATTGTTCACTCTCCAAATGCTGTAGCTGTGGGGCTGAGCGAGGCTGAAGCCAGGAGCCTGGAACTCAACCTGCATCTCCCATGTAGGTGGCAGGGACTCAAGTACTTGGGCCATCCAGGGCATGCTTTAGCACGAAGCTGGAATTGCAAACAGAGCGGGGGCTCGGAGCCAAGCACTCCAATATGAGATGTGTGTATCCCAAGGAGCATCTTGACCACTGAGCCCAGTGCCTGCTCTTGGAGACCCAGATGGAGCTCCTGGCTCCTGGCTTTGGCCTGGCCCAGCCCTGGCTGTTGTGGGCATTTTGGGAGTGAACCAGTGGATGGGAGATCTCCCCCCCCCCCCAACTGTGGTGTCCCTCTGTCTCTGTGCCTTTAAACAAGAAAATGAAATTACTGATCAGTTGTCATATAAGTTTCCCTGTAAGACGTGCGTGTGGAATGGATGTGTCACCTGCAGGAGTCAGATTGAGCATCAGGCCCTCAGCACCCCATGTTGTTTCTCTGAGCGCCCCCAAATTGATAGATTCCACGTCCTGTGGCCTTGACTGCTCTCAGTGGCTTCCTAGGGAGTTCACGGACTCAGGCTAGAGGAGCAGGGCCTGAGCTGGGATCCTGCGCTGGCTCAGCCTGGGGTCTAGAAGCCAGCTGTGCCACAGACAGGGGCCCCAGGCCTCTGCTAGCCCGGCCGCCTCTCCTCTGTTTCCAGGTCGCTCTGGACATGCCGTGCTGTATACTCCAGGGGATAGGTCTCAGACTGAGCTGGGAGCACAGGGCTCTCTACATGAAGACTGCTCACAGCTACGAGTCAGCCCCAGGGACCCGATCCCCGGCTCCAGCCTGCTCCCAGGCGGCGTGGGTAACACACTTTCCCACCTTTTCACCAACTTGCTTCTGAGAGTCCCTGACCCTCCCACGGGGCACAGCAGCAACCACGAGCTTAAGGCCAGACAGGGAGGCGCACTGTCCATCCAGTCCTGCTCAGCACCGGGGACCTGGACCAGCTGCCTTTTCCTCTCTGCGGTTGCCTTTATGCTGCTAGCTTGCACCTGCTCCCTGCTCCAGCCCACCCCACAGCTGCTGAGAGCCATAGGCCTGGGGGCCACCGAAGGGGAGCCAAGTGGGAGCTACTCACAGCCACCAGCCCGTTGTGTCCTGCAACGAGACAGAGGGGAGGGGAAGACAGCGTCACTGGGCAGAGGACAGGCAGACGCTGTCGCTCAGCCCTGTGAAAGTCCATCATGACCAGCACCCCCCCACACACACACACACTCAAGCTTCCCAGTGGCATCACCGGGGCTCCCACTGCTAGGGGAGGACCAGGGGACTGTGTCTGATGGCACAGCACAGCAGGGAAGGCAAATGCAGGTGGCTGGCAGGTGGGCGTGTCCCCTGTCCCCAGCCTGGTCTGGAACCGGCGGCCAGCCAGCCAGGCAAGTGCAGCTCATGGGCACAACTACTGTGTGGCTCACGGTGGGCGCGGTTGGGCCCAGAAGTGTTTATTCGCCTAGGGCTGCCTTTGCCCATCCCCAGGGATCCAAATGTGAATTTAGATCCAGAATGAAGTCTGCTCAGGCAGACTCGCTCTTCAGCAGAGAACAGGCCCAGGCAATTTCAGGGAGTCCGGGGCAGGCCTTGCGGGGACCCCCAGCCTGCTTCCCTCCTTGCTGACAGGCAGTCGCTCAGAGCCTTTACAGGTGTCAGGGGACGCCATGATCCCTGAGCACCAACCCAGGGCTGACGCAAAGCAGGTGCTCAGGGGTTAATGTGACACAGCCACGGACAGGGGTGGCCCACGCCGTCAATTTCCTCGCGGCGGAGTGGGTTTCCTTTTAAATTTCCCTTCTGGAGACCCCCGGATTTTAGAGGTCACTGAGCCAGCTTCGCATCTGCAGAGGGAATCCCTCACACTGAGCTTTTCAACCCCTCTTGTCCAGGACCCTGGGGAAGACATGCACGTTCACGCCATGTCCTGGGCCACACACACACAGGTTCACAGACACGGATGTCAGGAGCCTGGAGGTGAAACGCAGGTGCTACTCCACATGGGTGCATTTCATGTTCAAAGTGTGCTGGCTGGTGTGCTATTTTTAAGTACTTTTGAAACCTTTCCTAAGACAGTTTTAAAAATACGCTGGTGGTGGCTCACGAGCGGGTGCACAGAGTCGCCTGGGGGGCCTTCTCTCGGTGCACACAACAAAGGAGAGGCGGGGAAGTCGGGAGTCCCGCCCACTCCTGCTGTTCACCCGGGGCCTGGTCTCAGAGAGGCTTTAAATCCCGGAGCAGCAGAGCAGGGGGAGATGCAGCAAGTGAGGAGGAGAGCCCGTGGGCCATGCAGTGCACCCACACCTGGGCAGGCCCGTAATAAAATATGGGAACCATTGGTCTTGTAATTAGTGAGTGCCAATCACCAATCTTGGAAAATGGATAGAATCCTCCAGACCACCGGGTCCAGTTCAATCACGACGCACAGGCCCATGCAGGCAGGGAGACTTCAGATGACAAAGGTCCAGGAATCCCCCAGCCGAGGGCTCCTCCCCCAGCCCTGAGGCTGCCAGCCTGGCTCAGGCCCAGGTTGCCCCCAGGGGTCCTCCAGCAGCATGCGTGGCCCCTGTGGCACTGGCAGGATTGAGGTGCTGGGCGTCACCTCCCATCGTCAGGATCCTAATCCCCAGACAGCAGGCCCTGGAATCTGTGTTTTCCCAAGCCCCTTGGGTCATTCTCAGGCACACTGAGTCCATGACTGAATCAGGGTCATCTTGGAGGTGCGGCCATGCACCGGTGACTTCAGGGACTCAGCCATCACCATGACCTCAGCAGATGCCACTCAGTTCCTGCCCCGGGCCTGAAACGCCTTCAGCCTGAGCTTCCAGTCTGTCTGGCAATCACAGAAGCCGCCCAAGGGGCACACTCACACCTGCGGGCAGCTCACCAAGACAGCTGGTGACCCGCGGGGTCAACCTGGCCCCCCGGAGACAGCAGGTGTGGAAGGAGGCGAGGGGGCTTCCTTGTCTAGAGCCCACTTAGTGGGCGTGCTGGCGCTGGCTCCCACCCGCCCAGGGAGTTAGGGAGCTGGCTGTCAGAAATAGCCATTGTTAAAGATGAAAACTGATCAACTTACAATTAAACACATTCTATTGAAAACAAAGGGAATAAATAGTCAAGAATCATCACTTCCCAACAGTGCATCTGACTACTACCTATGTCTTTGTGGCCATTGGCCTTTGTGTATCTGGAAGGTGGACACAGGGAACAGAGGTGGGAAAATGCGAATCCAGGCATCCCTCTGTGCGGCGGAGGGGAGGGATGGTTCTCGGACCCCTGCAGGTACCAAACTCTGAGGCCGCTCAAACCCTTCAGGTAAGTGCTGTGATCTTTGCATATAAACTACGTAGTCCTCTGATGCTTTCAACATCTCTGGGCTATGTACAGTCTCTAAGCAATGAAAGTGCTGTGTGCATAGGTGCTAGACTGCACCACCTAGGGAATGATGGGAAAAGTCTGCACATGTGCAGTACAGACATGACCACTGCTGGCTTAACTACAAGGTACATGACCCGTGTTTAGTTGAACCTGTGCCTGTGGATCCTATGGACACAGAGAGCTGACCACCTATGTGTATCGTGTACATGTGTGCACATGTATGCATGGGCATGTGCCGCACATGTGCACATGCACACACTGATATGTGTGGATGTGCATGTATATACACACAATGTGTCCATGTGTACATGTACACACCCGTGTCTGTGTGGACATGTGGACAAGCATGTGTAGGTGCACGCATGTATAGATGCACAGGCACACACAATCTTCCTATTCAACATCTGCCAGCCTGCAACGACTGTTAGTATATACATACATGAAGAAATACAAGGGATGCCACTTGGGAGCCATGTTCCAAGCTTCTCTCTGCAGACTCAGCTGGAACCAACATTTCCGGGGCCCTGAGTGAGCGTGAATGGGACACCCCCAAGGGAAGGCCACCTGGCCCTGGGCCTGCTGCCTCACTCAGGCACCAGCGGGCTTGGGACTCCTGAGCCTGGGGGTCAGCCAAGCGCGGCAAGAGCACTGCAGCGTCCACCCGAGTTCCAGGGGGCAGGCAGTGGGGCGTCCCCTCTGCGGATGCGCAGTGGGGTCTCAGGCTGTTCTGGTTTTCCCAAAGTCCCTTTATGGAATGATTCCAGCTTCCATCAGCAACAGCGACCTGAGCCATGACGGAGTGGTGACTGGAACCCTGGCACAGGGGAGGCTGGCCTTCACTTAGCGCCACCCCAGGGCTCTTTCCTTCTGGCCCTGGGGTGCCACACACTTTCCCAGAACGTGTGGGAATGGCTAACTTGGCAGGAAACACACGGGAACCCCTAAGTTCACGGAGCTTCTCTTGTCATTCGAGAAGGCAAGAATTTGCCCCAGATCCCATGGCAACTTGATGGCAGAGTGCGCGGCAAACCCTGGGCGCCTGGCTCTCCACACTCCTGGCGGGGGAGCAGAGCGGAGCTCAGCCGCGGGCCTGCCTCCCCGCCGGCAGCTCGGCTGGGCCCCACTTGTTACCTGCTCCTATCACCACCGCGTTGTACTCGGGCTTCAGGCGTCCCTTGCCTACTGCATGAGCTTGTCTCCAGGCAGGGCACGGAGAGGGGCCCGCGGCCCTGCGGAGAGCACGGGCAGCCATGTCCGCTGAGGGCTGGCTCCACCCAGGCAAGGGAGAGGGGCGGGGAGACTGGAGGAAGAGGGGAGGAACTGCAGCCCTGCTGCTGGCTCTTGGCCCTGGGCCAGGACAACGGGGGGGGGGGGGGGGGGGGGGGGGGGGGGTTCCTCCTGCTGAGACTGTGCGGGGCAGCATGGGAGCAGGTTGCCTATGAACCGGGCAGAAGTCCTGTGCCGCCTGCAGGACTCAGCGGAGTGAAACCGATTCAACTGTTTGTACAGGAAGGCGGGAGAACTCCCCACTGTGCACAGGAGGGTGCTGCGGCTCGGGCAGGGGCTGCGGCTCGGGCAGGGGCCGCGGCAGAGCCAGGCCAGGTAAGCACTGTGCTGCCCCACGTGACGGTTCTGTACCCTTCGGAAGCTCCCACAGCCACTGCCCAGAGCCTCAGAGCGACCCCGTTACCGCGGCCTCCGCCACACGGCCCACAGTCTGACACTGCGTGAGGGGGCCGGAGTCGCATTCCACGTGTGCACCCATGTGAGCGCTGCCGTGCACAGAAGGCGGGGCCTGGCGGGGGACACGGCACGCCAGGACCTCCTGTGCGGTCCCTGCCAGTGGTGGGCTTATTGGCTGCTCCCAGCGCTTCTATGTTCTCTGCCGTCAGCATTTCCCTTTTTAATTTCCGTGCACAAGTCGGGACACGGGGGGGAGACACAGACCCAGTCATCTCTGGACACTGCTCTCCACTGCCACCTTCCGCGGGTGTTACCCCAGCTCCCCAGCTCCCCAGCACCTGTGTTCGCCCCAGAGCTGCCCCCCGCCAGGGAAAGGCCCTGGTGTGAGCTGCAGCTGCGCAGAAGGCCTGGGCACGCAGCACGAGGCGGCCATTCCCGTCTGTGGTCGGCGAACCCTAGTGCGGTCCTCCCCTGTCCCAGTGCTCGGATGGTTTCTTGTCCTCATGTCCGTCCCGGACACATCAGCAAATATCATAGTCTACGCTCGCCAAGTGCGTCCGGATGTCTGGGCCCAGGCCTACGGCTCCAAACCACAGCCCTAGGGGAAAAGTGAGCCCGGCGTGGACCAAGAGAAGAGGTCAGGACTCTGCAAGGGCTCCACAGCCTGACAGAAGGGACCAGAGGCACAGGCACGCTGGACTCGAGTGGTGACAACAACCAGCATTTATTGAGCACCGACTGCATGCTCAGTAATCCTCTAAGCGTGGGGGAACAGGGTCAGGATCTGAGAAACTTGCCCAGGGCTGTGCGCGGAGGTGGCAGAGCTGGAACTGCAACCTAGGGGCCCCTGTGCCTGGGGCAGGAAGCAGCTTCCTCTGCTCAGACGGCCACAGAGAGGAGCCTTCAGCCCCTGGGGACTCCCTTCCTGGCTCCCAGGGACAAAGGAAAGGCAGCTCCATCTCTGACCTCAGACCCACTGATTCTATGAGGAGACAAAGGGCAACTGGTGTCTTGCCACCCCCCTCAGGGGGACGGATTTGGGGGTGCCCACGGTGGTCCAGGTGGAGTTTAAGGAAGCCTGTGCCTTGGCTCCCCTCAGGATGCCACTGTGGACAGGAGCCGCCTCTTCCTGTGGGGACCATTGCAAGCACAGTTGGCACAGCCAGCGTGCCCTGGCCTAGGGCAGAGGGACGCGGGTGGCCTCCCCCAGGCGCCGGGCCAGCTGGCCGGCCTGCTGCACCAACAGGTCCGTGGGGATGACTGACAGGTGCAGGGCCAGCAGCTCATAGCACCTGACAGCCTCCGCTGGGTGGCTCTTGCTGTAGTAGCGCAGGAGCTTCCTGGGGTGGGGGAGGGAAAGGAAAAGGATTAGGAGCCAGGCTGCGGCACCCCACCTTCTGATGCCCACACCCTTGGTCTCCTCATGAGGCTGCCAGCCCTGGACTGACAACATCTGCTCTAGCTCCCCACTGACCCAAACTTCTGAGGCCCAGCCCCAGGTCAGGGCCATCCTCACCGAGGCCTGCTGAGGACAGGCGTGCCCCAGTTCAGACGCCCATCCTGGACCCGGCACAGATGTCTCCCTGTGCTGCCGAGACCACGCCAGCAGGAAGATGGGCAGGGCCTCCGGCGTGCTCCACTTGCTTGCTCTCCCCCTGAGCGCCAGGCCAGCCTGTGAGGCGCTCCCACCTCCCCTAGGGGGCAGCTGGCCTCAGCACCCAACACCAGGGACACCCACTGATCCCAGTGGCCTCCGACGCGTCATCACCTGTAGTAGTCACCTCCCAGCATGCCGATGGGGACCACGTCGTCAGAGAGGACAGGCACCTCGATAATCTGGAGTTTGTACCCCTGAGGAAGGAGAGGGAGAGCCGTGGGCGTGGGCCCAGGGCCTGGCTCCGTCCTGCTGTGTGCTCGGTGCAGCGGGACACACGTGCTCCTCTAGTTACCTTGACTGCACACCTTTCAAGTGGGAACAACAACAACCACCTACAGACACCGGGGAGGAACTCGGTCTCCAGTGGGGAGCTTGGCACGCAGGTGTCCACCAGTGGACCCAGATCAGTGGCAGGTGGCAGGAGGGGGCAGGGGTGTGGGGACCAAGAGACCAAGGGGCTGTACGAGGTAGAAGGAATGATCCCTAGAGGGAAGGAATAACGACTGGGAGTGACAAGCGGAGAAACAAACAGAGAAAGGAAAGGAAGAGAGAGGCAGAGGCAGAGAGAGCGAGCGCCCATACCATAGGAAATGGCTCTCCATTCCCGGGCTGGCACAGCACCGCAGAAGCTCTACAGGAAGCAGCCCAAGGCCAGGACACAAGGGATCCGAGCCCTACGGGTGGCACCACCCTGGGCAGGTTGGTTCACTGCTTCCGGCCGTGACTGTCTGCCTACACACTGGGCGTGCCAGCGTGCACTCTGTGCGCCCGTCTGTGCGCCGCAGAGTGCGCCAGCCGACTGGGCGGGGGACCGCAGCGCTCCGTGCCCTTGTGAAAATGCTGCTTCAGCTCTAGTCCCTGCTCACAGAGCTTACCTGCTCTTCTACCAGGACCAGAGGCACTGAAGAGAGGATAGCAGAACACAATTCACAGGAAAGGAGTCAGGGAGTTACAGCAATGCAGTGTTTCAGGCCACCCTGCCCCAGGGACCTGGCCACACCCACCATGTCATTCTCAAACCACAGGAAGTAGGAGCAGTAGAAGTCCCCCTCCTGGAACAGCAGCGTTGTGTAGCCCTTCTGCAGGTATCTGCGTGCCCTCCGGATCAGAGACCAGACCTGCGGGAAGGAGGGAGCACACTTACCACTGCCTGCGGGGCCGTGGCCTAGGGAGAGGGAGAGCAGCGAGCCACTAGCTGTGGGGCTTAGCTCACCGGTGCATGGGCGGAGGGAGGGACCACTCTTGCAGCTACCATGGGGATAAAACATGGGTAACAACACTTCGTAGGATTCTACACTTAAGCCACTGACTTCTCAACTACTCAGGCCAGAAAAGTAGCCAGAGTCCTGGTGAATAAATGTGATGGGAGGTCCAGATGTGGCCCCTTGGGAAGCCCTCCTCTGCCAGGGGTCAGGCGCTCACCCAGGCTCCTGCAGGGCTGGGAACGGAAGCCATGGGTTCCACACCAGGGAGGTGCAGGGAAGCGTGTTGGAGCGTGCAGCCCGCCGGGCCACACATGCCCTCTGTCCAGGGTGAAGCCCAACCGAGGGCTTCCCAAGGGATGCAAACACAGTTCCTGTGGGCCATGCACCGTGGGCCCCTGTGGGCCTGTTCTGCCTAGTGCAGGGGCCATCTCCGGGGCTGCCTGTTGAGTGACCCAAGGGGAGGCAGCCAGGCTGCTCGGCCCTCCCATCCCCTAGTGGTGGGCGCCGTCACCAAGGCCTCTGCAGGGGAGTGGGCTCACCCCCTGCCAGATCAGTGTGTGGTGGAATGACATCGGCAGACACACACAGGGCTTAGCTGTGCTTCTCCGGAAGGAAGCTGGCAATGCTCATCAATAACCCTACAAACATTCCTCCTTCTGACTTGGAGATTCCATTTCTGGGAATCCATACTGAGGAGACAGCCAGAGATGAGGGCAGAGGAGGTGTGTCCTATAGAATTATTTATGACCGTGAGAGCCTGGGACAATCTCAGTGCCCAGACACTGACAGGTGGGTAAGTAAATTATGTTAGATCCACATGAGAGGCGATTACGGAGTGCAACATGATGCTTACAAAGAACTCAGGAGGAAATGCACCTGATATAATGTGAAATGAAACGTGCGGAATGCACTTGCAATGTTCTCTGCCCAGAATAAGATATAAACCTACCTCAAGGAACTGACCCAGAAAACCTGTCTCCAGGAACTGACCCACCCAGAAAACCTGTCTCCAGGAAATGACCCACCCAGAAAACCTGTCTCCAGGAACTGACCCAGAAAACCTGTCTCCAGGCAGATGGCTGGGCCTGGTGAGGGTGGGGGTGGTGCCAGTAGGTGCCTGATGAGTTCTGTCTGTGCCACGTGCTGTGCCAACATTTACAGTCCCCTCACGTAACTTGCACGGTGGTGCCATACATAAAACGTGCTGTTAGCTCTGGTCTGATGAGGAAACTGAAACTCGGGCTAACGCCTGAGACCCAGAGCTAGTGAAAGCCGAGCGAGGTCGGCCGCTCAGCTCAGCCTAGGCACCAGCACAAACTTCCCGCGTGCACACACCCGTATGCGTCTGGCTTACAAAGTGGAAGAGGTGGCCCCCTCTTCACCCAAGACATGAGGGAGCCATGCAGAAGGGTCAGCTAGATTAGGAGAGGGAGCGAGCCCCAGAGAGGGGGGCCTTGGTGGAAACACCTAGCTCTCAATTCTGAGGCCCACACTGACCTCCTTCCCTTTCATGTTAACTACTTCAACAAATACTTGAAAGCCAGTCCTGCTCAGGGCACGCTGCCGCCCCAGGCCCAGCAGGACGCATGGAGAGGCGCTGCCCGGCTCTGGTCCTGGGCCCCTCAGGTCGGGAAGCCAAGGCAGCAGGCCTCTGGGGGTGTGCTGAAGGCAGGGGCGGGTGTGGGCCTCCAGCCGGGGAGTGGTTACCTTGGTCTTGACGAACGCAGCCAGGGGCCCCTTGCCCAGCTCCG